GAACGAGATGGCAAGGGAGGTGGTAGCCATGATCAACGACATCCTTTGGTTGCATCGAAGTATGTTTACAGCTGATGGTGTCTACGTCGAGGGGGTTGCCATGTATTCCTTCATGTCTGTCACGGGCCTCATTGGGATCTCTACTCTGCAGAAGGCATCCTTCGGATCTGCCCCGGAAGCCGTTGACGAAGATGCCCTGACACGACTCGTAGACTTCCACCTTGCGAGCATGTCAACCGATGCCTACACTGTCGCATTCGGGGACTCCCACCGGAAGAGAGGATGGGGAGACTTTTCCACCTTGCAGTCGGCGCTGGCGCCCAAGATAGTCCGTGATTCTGAACAAGCCACAGCCTTGACGCCGTGTGGCGCTCGGGAATACTGCGCAGCCCTTTACGGCAGTGGAGGGCTCTACGAAGATCCTTGGCGGATTAGCCCGGAGCTCTTGTCGCTGAATCTGACCGACCTCGTGCTGCAGTGTTCTGTGTCTGCAAGCCAGCCTCTGGGGGGCCAAACAGTCAGAGTCTTCCGTGACGGCGGCTATGCATCCATTCGGACGCCACTGCTGGCGGCGGAAGGCAGCTTGCCGTGCTTTGGCAGCGGTCAGACGCAGATCTGCGTACAGCAGAGCCCTTCCCTGGCCGACAACATCCCCTACTCCTTCCTCGCCTTACAGGTTCGTGTGGCAGCTCGTAGTTACAAGAACTCTCGCAGGTCATAAGTTCAGTGTAGGCAGCTGCGGGAGTAGGCAGGGGACCATGGAGCAAGCAAAAATCGCTCGCAGGCGCGACCCAACTCGCAGCCGCACTCGGAGGTCGACTTCGGCACGTTCATCTGGACTGCTTGGGGGTCGAGCCTCATCTCCGAGTATGGGTATGGTACCATTGCAACCGCTGTCGGGCCCTGGGACACGAGGAGGTATGAATACATTGACAACAACCCCGCGGGCCACAACACGGCCGTGGTGCGCGAAGCTTTCAAAGATCCAGAAGAGAGGATCCTCCGGCTCTAGCTGCCCACTGTTTTTCCGGATGTTCTGAGGGTTGAACCCCATGGTACTCGTATCTCGTATTAAGAGGTCATAGCTCACAACCTACTACTAAACCTACTAGTTTGTAAGTTCAGGGGGCTGCAGGATCAACTTCTCGCAGCTGCACCTGTCCGCGGGCAGCCTGGTCTCTTCCGCCACTCGCGTTGACAGCGGCGAAGGCGAGTGCCTGGAACTGGACGGATCAGTTCCCTACGGAGCTTCGAGGACTGACGGTTGGTTGGATGTGATGCGGAGGTATGCGTGTCCGGTGTCAGATGGTGCCTTCGTGTTGATAGACCTCTTTGCCGTGAAGCGAAACCGGACATCCTTGCACATCTACGGAGCGCAGTACGGTGGGCCCAACTTTGATGAGGCAGAGCCTGCAAGCACACGGCTGCACATCGACGAGTACTTCCACACAGAGACCAGTGCGCCCTTAGCCACCGATTCTGATGGCAACCGCCTGGCCGAGGAGTTGGAGTTCGACCGCGACTCGGATCCCAGTGCCTTCAAGTGGTGCTTCCACGTGGATCCTGTGGTATTGGATGCAAGCGCAGTGGCCCTGTATGCCAAGTGTGGGCTTGGGGGTTTTCGGCCAGCTGACGGCTGGGGATTCATTCGCGGCTTCTCTGTCTCTGGTGGACATTTTGTTTATGATGGCTTGGTGACGACTGTCGACACATGGAAGCGTCCAAACTGGCTGAAGAAGCGCCGCTTCCGATTCGTCGGGAACTCAACCGTTGGTGTCGAAGGGGACGTGCGGCTTTTCGTGCTCAGCCCGGTTGCAGCCAGCCAGACTGAAGCTCCGACCATTGCTTTGGAGTCCTGTGCGGATGAACTGGGTTGCCCGACTAATGGCAGCAAGTTAGAATGCTCCTGCATCTCCATGTGCACCAACTCTGTCGTCCGATGGGCCGTGCTACTTCTTGGGAGATTACACTCTTTCACGAACGTGGGCACCTTAGTTGACTTCATGTAGAGTCCTTCAGAGCGCAGTGGGAGACTCTGTGTTGAAGCTGACGCCCCTCCTGTGCTACATCCCCCGGTCCACGCACAGCCCTGACAAAACACTCTGCACCTTGGTGTTACACACATGTGTCGAGCCTTCAAGTTCGTTTCATGCTGAGGTGGGAACTTGCACTGATGGCTCCGTTGCACACTCGCTGCGCCCGGAAGAGGCAGCACGATTTTTGCAAGCCTGCCCTAGGCCCTGGGCCAAAGGCCCTACAGCCCTCAAAGCCGAGTGCCTTTGCAGGTTAGCTGCTCTGAGCCTTGTTGCTTTTCAGCTCGCAGGTCTCGGCTCTTCAGTCGGAAGCACTGGCAGCCCTGGGCCGCTTGTAGCAACGTCTTATTATGGGAGCTTCAGTCCGTCAGCTCCTCTCCCTCGCTTCGCTCTCTCTCACCCGTGCAGTGCAAGTTGACACAGTGCATTCTGGGCTCGTCTTGCGAGGCATCTCCTCGGAAAACCAGTCGGCTTCTCAGTTTCCCATGGGAGCAGCACTGAGTCACGTCCTGATCTCTGTCCCAGAGCCTTGAATGCCGTGCATCAAGTGAGACTGATCCGAAAAATCCAACGACAGTGACTATGGTTCGATGCTTGAGAAAAACCCCTGCATTAAAAGTGGCTGAACGACTGTTTCCCAGGACCACGACGACGAGTGAAGCCTCGACTACGTCGAACGTTTCCCTTACGGCGACAGGCAGTGCCGGCATGAGCAGCACTCAGTCGTCATCCCCAAAGCTTCACCACTGTAGAGCACCAAAGCACGCATCCGTTGCGGGGTGGGGACTCAGCTTTAGTTCTGTCTGCCGAAGACAGCTCTTCGATGGGGGGGGCCGAGGACAACAACGACCGATTCGGCTAGTGCCTCGGACGCTGCCGGTGTGGTTGGTGGCGCCAATCTTCACAGCTACCATATCTTAACGTGCCTGCTCCTGCAGTGCATTATCCTCATGTAGATGGGCGCCTCGGTTAAGTTTGATCTAGAATTTCCTGTCAACCTGTTCAGTTGTTACAGGAGCGGCATGCAAAGCTTCCTGTACCCTGCAGGCCACATCAGTTGTGACTGTCTTGCTCGATAGCATAGGGCCCCTCGGTCGTATGCGATATTTCCTCTGGACCCGCAAGCCGGAAGCCAAGGACACCATTGCGGAGGCTGCGTTCAGTCTTTCCTGCCAGCTCTCGCACGGAGAAAGACAGGCCCAAGAATTCGCCATGCTTCGGCATCTCTGGGCACGGCGGCGGAGCAGCAGAACTGGTGAACTTGCAAACGGAGCAAGAGAAGTATCTGGACCTTTGCTCACTCACACTTAGGGCAAAGTACGGCTGAGCCCGGCCGATCTACGTCCGTCGACGAGATGATGTGGATCTTCCAGCATGACCAGGCCGAGCCAGTATCAAGCTACACGACTTGGAGACGGCGCAAGCAGGTGGGTGCTCTTTGGTTCGGCCAGAGGCTCCCTCACTAGCCCTGCAACAGTTTGCAACGCTTGCACCAGACCCGACCTCGCTCGAGAACCCGAAGTGCATTGGGGAAGGGCAGCTGCGACACTGCCTTGATGAAGGCATCCGAGAACTAAAAGGAGTTGTTGCTGTGTGCAATGGTTTGACTTGTGAACTTCTACATGTAGTGTCATGAGGCAAGTGCTACGGAAAGCCTTGACCGACAGTGATTGCCCAACCGAGTTCTGCTAATGTTGTTGCGTCTTGCGGCCTGGCTTTGTGGGGGCCCTCCTAAGAACTCATTACTTTGTGCCAGCGGGAGAGGGCCGCCATCTGCAACGACACAAGTAACGATAATCGTACGAATCCGCCTCACATCTAAAGTGATTGTAATCGTGATCATCTAGTTGTAGGTTAAGGGTCAGGGCTAAGAGTTGAGGGCTTGGGACTTGGGAGCTCGCTCGCCGCAGTCAGAGCCATGGGCAGTGGAGCTTCCTCGGATCCCCGGCAGCGCGCTGAGGTGGCTGTGCCTCGGCAGAAAGGGCTTCTCCTAAGGTTTAGGGTTTGGCATGATTATGCATTGACTACATGGAATCCCAAGATTTGGGCTCATTTAGGGGCCTAAGCGTTTATGGTCTTGGTTGTGGAGCAGCTCTCGGGGCTCGTGGTTGAGTGCCTTGCAATCTCGGCATGAATGATAGCCGTGACAGTTGCCTTTGTGACCATGATCTAGATTGGGTTGCGGTCTTTACTGCTTTCCGATGAGCTCCAGGTTGGTTCAGTGAGAGCAGATGTGTAAACGTTATTGAGTCATTAGAGGGGCGTGGAGTGTTTGTACAGTAGTTCATTTGGTGCTGGCGCAAAAAGTCATGTGGTGCAATCTGCGCCGCGATGGGATTCGGCTGCGAGCTCGAAGAATTCCGTGATAGCGAAATGCTTATGATCACTAGGTACTTGTTATGAGCTGAGCCCAGCTGCCAAAACAGCCCGAAGCCTTCAGCCCGAACTAGAGCTTGAGAGCTGCAAATGTGCTTTCTATGGGCCCCATGTCGGAAGTCTAAGACCACACGAGATCCGGGGATATGATATGTTACTCCAAAAAGGGTGCCAAGCCACAAGGCCTCTGAGCCTTAGGCTCCAATTCCCCCGAAGTTCGTCCGAGGAAGACTGGTTTCAGCAAGCAGACGTCGATCAGCACCCAGCCTTCTCTGATCAGGCTTTCGAGTTTCTGGATTCGGAAATGCACGATCACCGATGTTTAGGATCCAGGCATCATCCCAATTGGCTTCTCCTCGTTCCCAGCCCCCACAATGTTAACGGCGCAAAGCCGCACGACATGCTATCGTCCTGATTTTGGGTCGAAAGCGCAACGACAACGCGCTGCAAAACAAGTTCGGGGTAGAGGGCAACACGCGGACACTTGGCAAACTGGAAAGGGGCATCGAGCCCCAAGAAAGCTTGCGGCATGCAAGACTCAAGATCGCAGAAGTGAGCGCACAGAAGCCATACAAACATCACCAAGAAGACATGGTGAACAACACCGTGAAGACGAACTGCCGAGTAGCCAGGTTCTGTGTCTGCGGCGCTGTGACCCGGGTTCTTTAGCTGGCCTTGAGTCCTAAACCCAAGCCAGCCGAGGGATGGCAAGCTGTCGCTGGACGAGCTGCTGGCAGCTGCGCATGCACACCACGAAGAAACCGAGTGGACCCGCGAGAGGATCTTGTCCTGCCTCCATACGTATGATCAGAACGGCGACGGCATGCTGGACAGAACAGAGTGGCAGGCTGCGTGCGAAGGCGCCATTTGGTGGCAAGCGGCATGTGAAGGTGCCTTATGACCCCTGCACCCCGAGGTAAAAGGGCTCCCACAATGATGCGTCTTGATCTTGAATGTAGCAAGACGAAGTCCGGCCTTCAGGCCAGCCTCAGTGCCTCAGAGCTCTGTGCACGAAGGGTCGGATCACCAAGTGGCGAGACTTTCGGCGTTTTCCAACTCGTCTTGCACAGCTCTGCTCCTCGCGGGGGGGTTCCGGATCAATCCTGTGCTGTGTTGGGGCCGGGTTTTCTGACGCATGCATGCAGATGCCTGCGTCATGCCCGCCAGTGTCATAGGCGTATGAGTTTTCCTTTCCTACACTGTCAACTTGTGGAGCAGCATGCGTGCTCTGAAGCGCATAGACATGCTTTTAGTCCAGCTGGTTATGGTTTGTCAGAATACACTTGTTGTGCAAATCTGCCACAGATGACAGTTTGCTGGACTCCCGCTCAGGAACTTGAAAGATGCCGCAACCGTAGGAATCTATAGCAAAGAATAAAGAATATAGTCTCCTAGTTATTATTGATACTTGAAGTAAGTTCCGTAGCGGGAACCCAGATTGGGGTGCCACCACCCTGCCAATCCCCGACGGTACGGTTCTTCCCGCGACTGGGCCCTGGCTAAGCCATGCCCAGTCTCCTGTTGCACATAGTAGTTATATGGTAGTAATATGATAGTAATATGATAGTTATATGATAGTTATATGGTAGTAATATGATAGTAATATGATTCATAGTAATATGGTAGTAATATGGTAGTAATATGGTAGTACTAGTAGTTGTAATTGTAAGGGTCGATGACTTCCGGCGAGGCTACGCCCTGAACCGAGTGAGAACAGCTTCGGGGCGTCGTCAAGAGTATGCTCGGAGCCAGCAGTTTCATGGATAGGACTCCGATGTTGCTGCTTGACCTCAGGCTTGAAGGCGGAGGGCCCTTTTTGGTTTCGGGTTTCAGGCTGAGGGTTTGGGGTATAAGTTGGAGTATAATGGCCATCGAGGCAGCTTTAAGTGCAGCGCCCACGGCACGGTGCTTCTGGATCCTTGCACGTCGCCGTCGCTTACCGGACGTGGGCCTCCTCTGCATGCTGCAAGTAGACATCATGTCAGTGCACTAGCGTACGTCTCCGTGTATGTCTTCATGTATGCACGTATGTGTATGTGTGTCCCCTTTTAGGTTCTGAACAGGGGTGCTTCATGTCATGGATCTTGTTGGGATCTAAAACTAGGGAGGTCTTAGTCGGGTTCCTACACTAGACGGCTGCCGACAGGTTTCCATGGCAGTGCTCAGGGGGATCTAGAAGGCTTGTTGTAGAAATGGCTTCATACCTGCCTAAGCCTAAGCTCTCTGCCCTGTACCCTGCATCTGACCCCATAGAGCTTGGGGCCCCAAACCTTCAAGTCATTACACAAGCCGCTGTTGCCACGCTTCTTCCAAGCTCCCGCGAACCCCACCACGAAAGTTTCATCCTCGCCCACGAGCGAGAACCAGAGCGAGAGAGGCGGCAACACATGCGGAGGGCGCATTATACACACCTTGAGCCACCCGTGCCTGACTCCAAACACCCCCCACGCCCTGAACCTGAAACAACAGAACGCCCAAAGAATCCCACACCCGTGATCTCAGCACCCGGCTATTTCAACTCAGTATCTTCGGGGTGAGAGTTCCAAAACCTTAGCCCTAAACCCTCAACCCTCAAGGTCAAGCTTTCCACCCCCCCGGGTCTCACGGTCACGGCCCCTCTGAGACGCTGAAAGCTTTTCTGGGGGCGCCATGGCGACGCTCATCGCCGGGAGCCTCTTCGCGGGCCGGGTGCGGCCCCGGCCTTCTTCCTACTGTTCTTCGGGTTGGGGGTTCGGGTTGGGGGTTTAGGGTTTACTGTTTAGGGTTTGTGGATTACGGGTTTAGTTTATTGCCGTTTAGGGTTAGGGGGGGGGGTTGGGGGTGTTTGGCTACTTGGGTTGGGGCCGTTTCATGGTGTTCATGCTTCTCGGGTTTCAGGTTCTGGGGTTGCGTTTCGGGAACGGAACAGAAGTTAGCAAGTCATGGGTTTGCACAAACGAAGTTTCTTGGGCTGTGTTGGTCCGTGGCTTGTTGTACACAGGATCTCTCGAGCTTTGCAAAGGGGTCGTGTCGTTGCGGGGTTCGGAAGCAAGCGGCGTGCAGGGTTTTGGGAATTGGGGGCTAGGGAGTACACCGAAGCCTCCATGAGCTGTCCATTATTGCTACTTTTGAAAGATGGTCCAGAGCGCTTCGGGAGTTTTCTGAAGAGTAGGGAGGTGGCTCTAGGGTTTGTGGGAAGCTACACCGCCCTCCCTTGGCTCCAGCATCTGCCTTCTCGAAAGCTGGGCAGAGGGCCGAACGCGGCCACCCTGAATGTAGACGCCGATCGCGGACTTCGGCTTCCGTGAGGCCTTGGAGAGCTGCTCCACGCTGGACTCGTAGGGTTTTAATAGAACATATTTAAGGTCTTAGCCACCAGTGCTACAGCTGTTCTTGTGCTAGTTGTGGTATTGCCGGTGCTTTTGCTGCTCACGTTTACTGCTGTGGTAGCAGTTGGTCACTCCGGTTGCAAGTCTCCTTCAAGGTGCCGGTGGTCGTCGTCTCGTCTCGTCGTTGTGGTCACTGTTGTGCTTGGTGTGACTTATGGCTGCTTGCAAGTCACGGTTGCAGTTTCAGTTTTGCACATCAAGCGATGCTGCTTCGAGTTGCTCTATTCCTGTCATCGACGGCCTTTATTGGGTGCTGCTATCTGCTGGCATGTCTCACGGTCGATCCATTGTAAGCTGAACTCATTCCAGGACCCGGCTGCGAGAGGCCATAGCCTGAACCCCAAAGCCCCAACCCACAATATGGGGGGCCTAAAGAATTACCTATACTATCTTTGGGGGTTCCTTATTATAGGTTTAGGATAATCTAGCCCCAAAACCCTATTCTAACTATTAAGGTCCCTGCATTAACCCCTCAGTTGCTTGACCCTCACCGCACCGACTCCGACCCTCATCCCCGAGCCTTCGAATCCCCAGCTTTGAACTCTACCCTAAAGCCCAAGATCCCAAAACCCCCGAAGTGCTCCCGACAGACCATGCGCGTGGCCCTCCTCTCCCTGCTGTGGCTGGTGGATGGCGCTCAGGCCCTTAAGAGCGACTCGGGGGTTTCAAGGACTTTTGACATTGCATCTGGACGAAAATAATGATAATAATAGTAATAATACTAGTCATAATAATAACAGTAATAGTAATAATAGTAATAATAATAGTAGTAGTAATAATGATAGTAATAATAATAATACTAGTAAAAACGATAATGGCAACAAAAAGGTCCGAAAAGCTGCCGATGAGAGAACCTGGTTTGGGGACCTTAAATCCTAAACCATAGGTGGTGGATGGAGCCATTCGTGGTCCTGTCTGACAGGGTCGGAAAGCCTTTTGTGGTGGGTTCTTGCGTGCGGTCTGGGTTGACAAGCTGGCTGGTTCACTTTCCGGCTTTGTGCATCATGTCATCAAACTACCCTGTAAGCCCCAACCCCTAAACCAAAGCAGTCACAGCATGCGCAGTTTCTGCGGGTCGTCCCCATGCTAGGATGCCCCATGATGTGGGAGCTCCAGGTGGAATTCAAAGTAGTATTTTATGAGTACAAAGTTTATGCTGCTTGGGAGACTTCTCCGTCTCACTCTCTCTCTCTGTCGCTTTCCCTCTCTCTCACCCTCCCCCTCCCTCACTCCCTCCCCATCCCTCTCCGTACAATGTCACCCACATACAAGCATACGCATGCACACATATGGGAGTTTCCGAAAATTAGGGGTACCTTATTTTCGGGTCTTTATAGTCAGGATCCTACACTTTTAGGGTACCATATGAGGGTCCCCCATTTTCGGAAACTCCCATATCTTTACATCGATGCATGCGTACACCTCGGCCAGGTTCAAGTGAATCGCTGGTCTGGGGAGGCCGGCCAGGGCTTGTTGACAGGAGGCGTTTTCTGAGAGGAATCCTTCTGTAACTGTTGTCATGCTTCATGTCAGATGCTAGTTTCTAAAACGGAAAACGGCCTACAGAAGTATTGGTCGTGATTCGTATCAAGGTTATGACTCTGCTGGCAATGATAGCTAGTTGGTGTCTGCGGCTGTGAGCAAGACGTTTCCCAATAGTCCTTCTTGAAGGAGTGTGGCCGGCTACGCCGCTTCGTTGGGCTTTGAGGTTGAGGGTTTTGGTTTCGAGTTCTATGTTCTGATCTGTACGGTTTGAGAGGCAACACTTCCACTGTGGGGGCTGTGTCTGCATGTGGTTGGCTTGCTGTCCCTGTGTAGGGTTTTCTACAGCCAAAGGTGTTCACACTGGTGCTAATTTGTAAATGAATCCCTGCAGATATTCCCACAGCCAGAGAAGTTTAATTAATGCGGTCGGGCTCCTGTCCTGGGTTGTGGTGTCCTGTTGTTTGCTGGGTCTAATGCGGTAGAACTGTGTCCTGGGTTCCTGCTTTGCTGTGTTCTAACCCACTTGGACTCCTGTGTCCCGGCTTGTGGTTTGCTGTTGTTAGGTCCTCTTACTTCGGTCGGACTCCTGTGTCGTGGGTTGTGGGCTGTCACTGTTAACTGTTTCTGAGGCGGCCTCTTGTGTCCTGAATTCTGGGCTGTTTTTGTTGTTAGCCTTTTCCAAATGCATTCGGACTCTTATGTCCGTTGCTTAAGCTCTAGTCTTTATCTAGACCCTAAGCCATACTCAGCTTTCCGGTCACCATAGAATACTCGTAGCATGAATAATCTGAATAGCACTCTTACGGAACCGCAGGCCAATTAAGTAAGGCCCCGACATTATAGAACCCCGGGAATGCTAGGGCAGCTGGTGGTCCTTCGGCACATCCGGGAGCACACTTCCGGAAGATGTCCAGGCAGGGCTGCTCCAATCGGAGCATTCTTATATTTGGGGGTTAGGGTTCAGGGGTTTTATGGTTTATATACGATCTTTGGGTGCGTCTCATCTCCTGCTGTTAAGGCTATTAAGGGTTCGATCTCACGGACTTGGGGACAGACATCTCCTCTATTCTAAGCAGTATGCATTAATGAGGGTTTAATTGACGACAAGGGTCTCTTGCCGGGTTTTCGATTAGTTGGGGCCTTTTCTTGGCTGCCAACACGCCTCGGGTTTTGTGGAGCAGGATGGGGTAAATCCATGTCTGGCCCGATGGCGCTGGTTTCTAGTTGGGACCGTCTGCCCTAAACCAGCCCTAAACCCTTAACCCGAAATCCCAAACGCAGCGTACGAGTGGCAGGCAGGATCGAAGTAAACTCGCTTGTGGCCTATGTGCGCGAAGCACACAGTACTGGTAGCAAATACTCGCAGTTGTCATCGTGTTACATTCGATCGTGGCCTGGATGCTGCCTAATTCAAAGAATTTGTCAAATGCTAGACCGGATCGTGAATGCGTCCCTCTAAAGTGTTCGCGGCCCTAATGCTGCTCAATCAGAGGACTTGGGGTAAATTCGTTTGTGGGCGAAAGGCTGCCCGACGCACACATGTCAACAAGGATCGGAGTAAGCTTCTGGCGCAAGAGCTGCACCGGAGTTGTTGCGACACCTGATAATTTAAGCCCGAGATTCGCGCCGCACCCCAAAACCCTGCATACCATGAATCCTCCCCGAATGCTCAGGGGTCCAGAAAACTACCACCGGATCGCCACAAAGGACCCTCATGAAGCCCATAACCCTATCAAGCCCCGTCAAAACCTCATGAACCCCATAAACCCTGTAGGACACCATCATCCACCACAAACCCTCAAAAGCTTTGTAAAAGCATCTAAAACCGTATCCGAGCCCCCACAAATCTCGAAAGCTCCACCCCAGCCTAAATCCTAAAACTCCCTAAGCCCTAAACACTAAACCCTACAAGCCCTAAACCTTAAACCCCTAAACCCAAAATCCCAAACCCTAAATCCTAAAGCCCTCTACGCTGAACCCTCAAGGCCCTTGTCGCGGGGGAAGAGGAGGCCAGGCCCCCGACCCTGGCCGCCCTGCAGCCGGAAGGCAGCCCCATGGACGAAAATTGGAGGGTTCTTGCTTGGGCTTCAGGGTTCTGGTGGTTTTGGGATTTGGGCTTCGGGGTTTTGTGGTGGTTTTGGGATTTGGACTTCAGTTCCGGGTTTTCGTGGTTTTGGAATTTGGGTTAGTAGGGAATGGTGGAATGGATTTCTTAAGGTCCCCTATAGTCACGATAGTAGTCCCAAGAACCCATTCCCCCATTCCGTACTAAGAGCCAGACAGAATACCTCAAACCCTAAACCCTAAACCCTAAACCTTAAACCGGGTATCGGGCTCTTTGGGTTCTTGAGGCTCCTGGTAGGGTTGAAACCGACTTTGCACTAATGGCTTCTCCGGTTTGTCGGGATGTTATGCAGGGGCGCATTCCTTTTTGTGGGGGGCGCAGCCCGAATGCAGCAAGTGAGCAAGCGGCGCATATTCCTGATCACCAGCTTGTTGGAAGTATTCTTCGAGGATCGAGGGACTTAGGAAGTAGGGTTATAAGTAAGGTAAGCATAGTTATATCTACCTGGAACCCTAATTAAGGTACTTATTATAACCCTACATACTAAGTCCCATGATCCTCTAAGTTATCAAACCGAAAGCCCCCAAGCCCAGCCGAGGCCCCGTGCGGAGGCCGGCGATGATCCAAAAGGCGCAGGTCCAGATGCCGGCGCAGGTGCCCCGCTTCCGAGCTTCAGGCGTTTTGGTTGGGAGGTAAAGGGGCTTCGTGGAGGGTTCTTCTAGATGGGTTCCAACAGAGGTTCTGGCGAGGGTTATAGAATGATAGGAATCTGAGGGTTCAGGGGTTCAGGCTTTGGGGTTGAGGCTGGTCAGGGCTTTGGGGTTGAGGGCTTCAGTTTCCTGCTTCGGGAGCTGTCTTGCCTTCGGCCGTGGAGTTTAGAATCCGACCTTAGACCCCTACAGTCTCAGCTTCTGCCTTGGGTTTCGAAGATCCATCTCTAAGGGCCCAGAGTTCCGTGGCAGTTTCAAACTTTACCGAAGGGTAGATTCGGGGCCAGGGCTTGGGTAGATGGGCAGTTCCCGAAACTGTGATGAGGCTGACGAACTAGAACGACGCAGCCCTGATGTTCCGCAGGTTCGAAAAGCCATAGATCCCAAGCGTAAAGCTGCAAAGCTACCCCAAATTTCCCGGAAACCTAAACAGTAAACAAACCCCTAAACCCCGAGTCCTTAAACCGATGCAAGAGCTTTGTTGCGAAGGAGATTGCCCCCTCGCGGCCCAGAACAGAGCTTTTCGGCGGAAGAGATTGGATGTGGCGTTGCTCTTCGAAACTTTGGAAACTTTACAGTGGGTTCCTGCTTCTTGCTTGTCGGTCTTCTGCTTGTTTCTTGCTCTGCTGGGATGGGTGTGTGTGTGTGTGTGTGTGTGTGTGTTTGTGTGGGTGCCGGTGTGTGCCGGTGTGCCCCAGTCTCTGTCAGTGTGTGCAGCCTACAGCCCCGAATCCCAGCCGTCTACTTGAGATGTGAGAACCCCTTGATTCCTAATGGCGACTCAGTATTCCTAAGCCTCGTTCCTTTGGCGACGATTCGAATAGACGACTGTTGCTACTAATCCTCTGAAAAGGGTTTCTTATGACCGAAGGTCTACACTGCATTACCCGAGACTTCTGATCAAGACTACTCGTCGACAACCGACCCTGAGGATCTTGACAACCGCGATCCCAGGAGTTTAGCAAGAAGTTGGCATTGTTGGATCCAGTTGTCAGGGAGTCAGGGAACCCCGAGCCCAAACACCCTAAAACCGAAACCGTACACCCTGAACCCTCCAAACCCCCGAGCCCGAACCGATAAACGCCCTGCAGACGATTGAGGTCTGCCACGTTGCCTTCCAAGTTTGTCGAGGCGCCTCGCGGTTTTTGGGGGTGGGGCTTGTGGTTTTGCTTTTTGTTCTTCTTCGGGTCTAGGGTTCCGGGCATATTTTCGGGTTTATGAGCTTCGTGCTAGTTTGCAGGTATGGACTCAAGGTGTATATTGTTTGTCCATTCAGGCATGCTGGCATGCGGTTGATTCCCTGAACATCCCATTGCTTCTTGCATTTTAGCTGTGAGATACCCAGCCTAAGGCGTTGAAACGCAAAGCCGACGCCCTAGACCAGTGGAGATTTCGGCTTTGCTTGTCTCTGCTGTGAGGTCGTGGACACTCGGGTTTCTCACGACCGGGGTTCCTCTTCGGGGGCTTCTTATGTGAAGAAGGGATCCTCTGCTCTTCAACGTTTTAGGCCTCGCAAACCTCGAATCCTGAAGCCTACACCGCAAGTATGAGGTTTTGGGGCCAGAGAGAAGACCCGAGGCTCCCGGGTTCGAACTGGTCTATAAAACGCTTTTACGAACACAAAAGAAGAGAAGCCACCGAGATTGCTTTGCGGGGGCTTTTCCGAAGAAAAAAAAAGAGAAGGTTCAAACACTGGTGCTTGAACCCCAGGTTCGAACACTAATGTTGGAATCTCGGGTTCGAACACAGGTGTTCGATTTCCAGTTCGAACACTGGTCTATAAACGCTTTCTTTTTACGAACAAAAGAAGAGAAGCACACGAGATCTTTTGCGAAGAAAACAAAAGAGAAGGAACATTGACCAGTTTGAACCCGAGTTCAAACACTGGTGTTCGAACCCGGCTGATATTCGGTTATGTTAGATTTAGACAACAATACGTAGTACGTATGCTAGTTGTAACAATAGCTCAGGTGATAGGGATAATCGTGACACGAGTCAGGTTACACCAAATCAAGCGAAAGCCCAAGCATTCTGAACTGCATGTGACGCACTGCGCGCACCGGCCAGTCTCCTGGCGGCGCACCGCCGGCGGCCGCGATGGGAGGTACTTGGTGCATCGTGTATTCGGGAAAGGATGTCGGAACACAGGACTCTACAAGACCTCGCATCTCAATTAGGCTTGAAAGCTGGGGGCTCTCAGTTCCGGTTTTATCTTCACAGCCTGATGGAGTGTGAAAAGTTCATGCTTCAGCTCTGATCTGCGTGGGTGTATCCTTTGAACAACGACAACTACACATGCAACATACATGCTTGCACGATGGCATGGATATCAGCATTTGTGCTTGCAGGGTTGTTCCTGAACCTCAAGACTCCCTTAAGACCTCTTGAGCCCCAAACACTACAGGGCTAAAGGCCGAAATCGGCAGCCCTAAATGCTGCGCCCTAAGCCTAAACCTTCAACCCTCTGAACCAGATACGCTAACGATCTGAACCTTCCAAAGCCAAAACAACCGCCAGCCTTGGCTGCGCTCTTCGCCGAGCCAAAGGCAGCGGCCGAGGCCGCGACAGCCGAGGACGAGTTTTTCGCTGGGTCTAAGGGTTTAGGGTTTAGGGTTTGGCCTTTCTGTGAGTTCAAAAGGCTGAACACAGATGGCTTTCAGAGGGCTTTGTGGGGCTTCATCTCGGGCTTAGCAGCTTAATGGGGCAGTGATGTTTGTGTATGGCATGCGCTCTGAATCGAGACTCCCGGACCCTAATATTCTTTCCTAAACCCCAGGTTCGTAAGCCCTACGACCCTACGAAGAACGCTCAAACAAACCTTAACTCCGAAACTCTAAACCCTCAAATAATCGGAAACCCAAAATCCTCAAAGCAACGCGAACCCCTAAAACCTAATTGTAAGGTTCTAAGTAAGGTATATAACTATAGTAACTCCTTGTAACCGTCGTTAAGGTATTTACAACACTACTTACCTCTAAGTAGACCCTAAACCCTAAACCCTTGTAGAACCCCTATAGATCCCTTAAAGGAGCCCTTATAACGCTACTTACTAAGCCCCATGATCCTCTAAGTAGACCCTAAACCCTTAATCCCTATAAATCCCTTTAAGGAACCCTATAGATCGCTTTAAGGAACCCTATAGATCCCTTTAAGGAACCCTATAGATCCCTGTAAGGAACCCTATAGATCCTTTTAAGGAACCCTATAGATCCCTGTAAGGAACCCTATAGATCCCTTTAAGGAACCCTTTTATATGGCCTTCCGGCCCGGTGCTCTGAGGAGGAGCGCGGCGGAGGAGAGCTGCGCTCCCGGAAGCGCCGGGCGGAGAAGGTGGGATCTCGGTCTGGGGTTTGGGGTTTCGGTTCCTGTAAGGGATCTATAGGGGTACTATGAGGGTTTATCGTGGGGCTCAGGAAGTAGGGCTATAAGGGTTCCTTTAAGGGATCTGTAGGGGTACTGCAAGGATTTAGGGTTTAGGGTCTACTCAGAGGATCCTGGGACTTAGTAAGTGGGGGTTCCTTTACTGGGGTCCATAAGGGCTGCTATAGGGGATCTATAAGGGTGCTTGGAGGATCATTGGACTTAGGAAGTAGGGTTAGAAGGGTTCCTTTAAGAGATTTGTAACGGGTACTATAGGGTTTAGGGTCTACTTAGAGGATCGTGGGACTTGGTAAGTAGGGTTATAATTACCAGAATCAAGGTTATAGGTAGATATGACTACAGTTGCCTTACTCATGACCCTCCTTACTAAGTCCCTTGATCCCTTAAGTGGGGTTTTGCGGTTTAGGGTTTGGGGCTTGAGGTTTGGGGTTCAGGTTTGGGGGAATTCAAGCGTCTTTATGAAGAGCTGTACAAGGGCATTGTTGCAGGTTTCAGTGAGGGATACTGAGCCCTGCAGCGCCTCACAGACCCTCGAGACACAAGGGCCTTTACAACAAGAAGGAGGCCCTCCTTCAGACAAGTCCTACCATACGTCCTTCAAAGTCCCCTGAACCTCGGAGTTCCTGAAACCCCCAAACCCTAAGCCCCGAACCCTTAACCCTAACTCAGGCAGGGAGAAAAGAGGGTTCAAAAAAAAAGAACCCTTAACCCTCAGCCTTGAACCCCAAACCTTAAACCCTGAACCCGCTCAGTGCAAGAATCCTTCGGGGCCTTGGGGAGGCCAGCTTCGAGAAGCGCTTCGCAGCCGCAGAGGCCGCCGCGCCCACAGGACCGAAGGGGACCGAAGCCCACAATGAATTACGAGGACCTCATATAGGATCTTGTATGTGTAAATATGTATTTTCTATATACGCACATAATATGATACAAAAACAACTGTATATAATATGATACATAGGTATCTAGATAAATATGTACGTATGTATGTATGTACGTATGTATGTATGCATGCATGCGTGCATGTATGTATGCATGTATGTATGTATGCATGTATGTATGTATGTATAGATGTATAAAAGTTGAAATGTATAAACGTATAAATGTATAAATGTATAAGTGTATATATGTATAAGTGTATATATGTATATATGTATGTATGTATGTATGTATGTATCATATTATATATCTATATATATATATATGTATAAATACACATTAGGTGGTGGTTTGGGGTTTAGGTTTACAGTTTTCGGTTTAAATTAAAGGCTGGCTGCTAGGTTTGCGGTACTCTCAGATTAAGGGATTTGGGGTGTAGGATGCTTTACAGGGCTTCTGGGTGTTCGGGCTCGGTGTTGCTTTTCGAAGCACGTGTTGCACAGCTTCATGAGGTTTGCAGTGTCGGGGCTTGTAGGGTAGAGGCCTTAGATGCCGGAACTTGAAACCTACGCGATTGTTTGGTCAGTTACCCGACTCTATCCAGCTTCTTTAAACCACCCTTTACAAAGCCTCGAACGGTATGTTGAGTATGACCAGGCTGGGAGGGGTATAGACGGAGTGTTGTAGGGTCGTGGTTGCAATGATGGTGCTGGTAGTAACATCACTGTCAGTACTAGTAGAAGTAGCAGCAGTAATCGTTCGTCGTCTTCGGATGTTGCGCTTAGTTATCGTCATTGCCGTAGTATGGTAGTGCGACAGAAGAACCAAACCATCCACAAAGCCTGAACCCCTTATCAAGCCGAAATCCCCCGTATCAACCCCAAACCCTTCTAAATGCCTAGGCCCTCAACCCCAAACCCCAAACCCCTAACCCCTAAACCCTAAACCCCTAAGCCCCAAGCCCCAAGCCCCAAACCCTAAACCCTAAACCGTCTCCAGTCTTGGCAGCGCTGTTTGGAGAGCCCCGCAGCGCCGTCGAAGCCGTGACCGCCGAGGACGGGGCCTGCATTTTGCTTTCTTCGGCTCTTTGCATCGGAGTGTTTAGGATTTATGGGGTTTAGGGTCTAGTTTGGGATTTAGGGTTTAGGGTGTGTACTTGAGGTTTTAGTAGAGTTCCTACTCGCATGACTCGTAAGAGGGGGCATGACTCGTAAGAGGGGTTAGTTGTGCAAGTGTTCAGGGCTTCTTTGTGAGAGGGTATGACACTTGCGATGCAGGGCTGGGTGCCTTTTCTTGAGAAGGGGGGCAGGATAGTAACTAAGGGTTTGATAGGTTGAGATGGTTTGGGTTGGCGTCCACTCCCGCACAAACCATGAACCGTGTAGACCCCAAAAGCCCCAACCCTTGGACTCCTAAACATTGAAGCACCGAACCCAAAAAGCCCTAATCCATACAAGTACAAACCTTTCTCGCCCGCCAGGAGGTGCATGACAGCGGTGAGCTGCACTCCTCCGACGTAAGGAAGCCGGCCAAGGCAGCAGATGACAACACCATGCTCTTCCCCATAAACCATGACTCAACACCAAGAAAGACCGTTAGTCAATAGTATATGCTTCTTAGTTATTGTTCTTTTTTGTTGTCGTTGCTATCGTACTGGCATGATGGGTGTTGCCATTCGTTACTTTGAATTATGCTTGCTGCAAGCACGTTCGAGGGCAAACTCTGGCAGAAGAGGGACATCTATAATGATCTAAGCAGTAAGTAATACTAAAGAACTACGGTTGATGATATGAATCCTGCATTACCCACAATGAGGAACATGCCATTATTCGCACAGTTTAGGGTCCTTAAGGTAATGCAGGATCTATATCATCAACCGTACGAACCTTGAAAACACCGACAATGATAGGGATCCTTAGGGGCGTAGGGGGAGGGGGGGTAGGGGGCCTTAAGGCCCATAATAAGGACTAATAAGGCCTATTTACGGACATATAGTCCCCTACACCCCTCCCCCCTACACCCCAGGATCCCTATGAGACAAGCTTGTAGTGCCCAGGGCCAGGTCGATGCTCAGAAGCGCCTGGCAGCCGCCGAAGTCGCTGCGACCGCAGGCGCCGGTTCGTACAGATCATGAGGTTTAATATTTAATATGGGGGCTTTAATGATTAGGATAGGGTTCCTTTAAAGGGGTCTTTATAAGGGCGACTATAAAGGATCTATAGGGGTACTATACCATAGGGGCCGAAATAATTGCCTGTACTACTTTACGGGTTCCTTATTATACTTATAGTATATCCTTTATGATGTTTTCATGGTTTTAAGGTTGAAGGGGCTGACAAGGTTCATAAGTGTAAAGGCGCGTTCGGATTAATTGCAAGGTTTAAACGGGTTCATAAGGCTGAGGAGGTTTGGGATGTCATTGTTTTCAGGAGTCAATTGGCTATACAGTTCAGGGGTTCCGGAGTTTGTAGGCTTTTAATTTTGCCAAGGTCTTGTCACATGCGTTTACCGAGGCCTACACCTACATCCTGTCTCCGAGTTTTGCGCAGCGTCATTGGTCATTGCGTCCACCTTTGATAGCTCTCGTCAATGATCATTCTGCAGACCTCGCAGCAGCACTCGACGTTACTTGCCGTTGTGGGTATCGCCACCAATTTGCTGTCGGATGCTCCGAGTGCTTTGGCGCATGCTGGTTGCCAGGCGAGTCTCTAGCACTGCAGCTAGTCTCCCATGAGCTCAGCGGAGAAACGCAATGCAGCTGATTTGGGCAGATTGCCACTTTGCGCCCGCTGGATGCTGTGTTCGTCTGCGAACCGTTCGCCATCCATTTGCGCGGATGCTCACGCAGAGCTCGGGTCGCCACAGCTCATGCGCATGCATTACAGTGATGTCAAAACCTTCTTGACTCTGTAGGTGCCATGTGATCAATGAAGCATCGACACACATGAGGACACCACAGAGAAAAAGTTTGGAAGCCTCCGCACACCCGAGCACGCTAAGACAGCTTCACTGCGTGGCCAGCGCTGTCAGAACAGCAGAGATGCCCGCTAGCAAACCATCCGGATCTGCTAGCTGCGCAGGGATGCTAGGACCCAGAGTAGGCCCTTATTCCCTTTTTTAGAGTTTGGCTTCTCTTATAACCCCCTTTAACCCAAAAAGGGCACCCTTTTTATTCCCAAGTTACTCTTGGGTCTAGGATGGAACGGCAAAATACAAGGCCCATGAAGGCCGCCATCTGCTCCGTCTCGCGAGAATCTTGCGGAACACGCCAGGATCATGTGGACTAACGCCAGAAGTCTGAAGTCCCAAGCCAGAGGGATCCCACAGCAACACTCAGGTGAGACTCTGATGAATTTGGAAATCCTACGGTACTCCCGCATCCTTCGGTCCTTCAGTGTGGGATTTGTGTTGCTCTCCTCGAACCCATACAGCAGCCTTATACTATTGTGGCAGGTCTTGTAAGTGATTACTGCCAAGACCAGCCCTCACAAGAACAAGGGGCACAGGGTTTCGAGGTTTGGGATGTCTTGCTATTGCATCATGTTTTACTCATGTTTGCTGAACGGCAAACAAGCCGAAGAGAGAGGAGAGTCGCGAACACTCGCCAGCCCCGAAACCCCAAACCCTTGCGGCCAGTTGACGTGGAACAGAGTGCCCAACGTAAATACGAAAAAGCGGAAGGCCCGAAAGCCCAGGATCGTAACCCGAAGCTATGCTCCGAATCCTGCCCAAAACACCTGGGATCCCGACACCCAAAGTCCCGAAACCCCAAACCCACCATCCCCAAGACCCTCACCCCAAAAGCCCCCGACGCTTTGCCTTTTCTCTCTGCAGGGCGCCGTGCGGAGCTCGCGCAGAAGTGCCTGGAGCTGGCCTCCTGGGCGCAGCGCGCGGCACCAAAGGGCGAGGCCCGAGCGAGAAAGATGATCAGACCGAGAGCTCGAGGGGCAGGGAGAAGCCCCCGCGCCCACAGAGAGAGAGAGAGAGAGAGACTGAGAGCAGCCAGGAGAAGATTCATGTTAATGATGCTGATGATGGGAAAGACCGTGATAATGACAACAATGGCGGTCACACCTTCGTCTTCTTCGCCATCATCGTCATCACACAATCATCATCATCATCAGCATCATCATCATCATCATCATCACCGCCACGATCCTCGTAAACCAAGGCTTTCTCGTTCTCGGAAACGCGCAGATTATGATACTGACGACCTAGAGCTCCAGACAAGACGCCAGACACCACTTCCCCCCAAAAAAATTACCGTACAAAGTATTTCTACGAAACTGCGCAGCCCAAAGCCTTAAAACGAACCTACTCCCCCGTCGCTTCAAAGTTTCAATCTCCGCAGCACTAGAGAAGGCCACCGCTCTTTTCCTCAGCACCTTGGTGGCACTTAGGCTCTTGGCTTCATGTAGCAGCTGGAATCATGGGCCCTTCTAATCTAAGAGCACAGCCATCAGCTGCATGATGGCTATACCGGTGATGATGACCCTGACGATGATACGATGACGATGACGATGATTGGCATGACACTGACTATGAATGATGATGCTGCCGTTGAGGCTGCTGCTGATGATGACGATGATGGCGATGGTGAGGATCATGATCAGGAGGATAGAGGATGATTGAAGCGACGAAGGAAGACGTCTAGTGTGTCAGATTATATTCCAAACAGGTAGCTTATACAAATATGTTTCGAAGTGTGTTTCATCGGCTAACAGGGTATGGTGGCAGCCGTTTATGTATATGTAAACGCACTCATGCATGTGTATATGTGCATATGCACATTTAAGCTTGCATACAGACATGTTTGCACATAAAACAGTATATGGATATGTACAGATTTGTGTACGTGTATACTGCAAAGCTGCAGTCGCACCCAAAGTTAAACACTCAACCACACAATGAGGCCATATAGCAGAACACATTACGTGTCGATTGAATTGGACAAACTGCCGCAAGCTAAGACGATCTATTCCGATATGCTGAGCCATATAGCAACACAAAGCTTCGCTGCCTCAGCCAGTGAGGCAGAAGCCCCTCAGGCGCAAAGCTAAGCCCCTGAGCCCTCAACTTCAATCTGTACTGAAATCCGAAACCCCGAGCCCCTGAACCCTAAACCCTAAACCTTCAGCCTTAGTCCCTGAACCCTAAACCGTACACCCTAAACCCTATAAACCCTAAACCCTAGACCCAAATCCTGAAACCCGGAAAGCCCAGGTGGATGCGCGCCGCTGGCTGCTCAGAGGAACCAGGGCGAGGAGCTTTGCAGCTCCCTTGAGCACGGGGGCCCAGGGTTTAGGGGTTTAGGGGTTTAGGGGGTTTAGGGGGGGTTTAGGGGTTTAAGGGGTTTAGGGTTTAGGGGTTTAGGGGTTTAGGGTTTAGGGTTTAGGGGTTTAGGGTTTAAGGGGGTTTAGGGGTTTAAGGGGTTTAGGGAGTTTAGGGGTTTAGGGGTTTAGGGGGTTTAAGGGTTTAAGGGGTATTAAGGGGTTTAAGGGTTTAAGGGGTTTAGGGGTTTAGGGGTTTAGGGGTTTAGGGGTTTAAGGGGTTTAAGGGTTTAAGGGTTTAGGGGGTTTAGGGGTTTAAGGGGTTTAGGGTTTTAGGGGTTTAGGGGTTTAGGGTTTAAGGGGGGTTTAGGGGTTTTAGGGGTTTAAGGGGTTTAGGGTTTAGGGGTTTAGGGGGTTTAGGGGTTTAAGGGGTTTAGGGTTTAGGGGTTTAAGGGTTTAGGGATTTAAGGGGTTTAGGGGTTTAGGGGTTTAGGGGTTTAGGGGTTTAGGGGTTTAAGGGGTTTAAGGGGTTTAAGGGGTTTAGGGGTTTAGGGGTTTAGGGGTTTAGGCGGTTTAAGGGTTTAGGGGTTTAAGGGGTTTAGGGTTTTAAGGGTTTAAGGGGTTTAAGGGTTTAGGCGGTTTAAGGGTTTAGGGATTTAAGGGGTTTAGGGTTTAGGGGTTTAGGGGTTTAGGGGTTTAGGGGTTTAGGGGTTTAAGGGGTTTAAGGGGTTTAGGGGTTTAGGGGTTAGGGGTTTAGGCGGTTTAAGGGTTTAGGGGTTTAAGGGGTTTAGGGGTTTAAGGGTTTAAGGGGTTTAGGGTTTAGGGGTTTAGGGGTTTAGGGGTTTAGGGGTTTAGGGGTTTAAGGGGTTTAAGGGGTTTAGGGGTTTAGGGGTTTAGGGGTTTAGGCGGTTTAAGGGTTTAGGGGTTTAAGGGGTTTAGGGTTTTAAGGGTTTAAGGGGTTTAAGGGTTTAGGCGGTTTAAGGGTTTAGGGATTTAAGGGGTTTAGGGTTTAGGGGTTTAGGGGTTTAGGGGTTTAGGGGTTTAGGGGTTTAAGGGGTTTAAGGGGTTTAGGGGTTTAGGGGTTAGGGGTTTAGGCGGTTTAAGGGTTTAGGGGTTTAAGGGGTTTAGGGGTTTAAGGGTTTAAGGGGTTTAAGGGTTTAGGGGTTTAGGGGTTTAAGGGGTTTAAGGGGTTTAGGGGTTTAGGGGTTTAAGGGGTTTAGGGGTTTAGGGGTTTAGGGGTTTAGGGGTTTAGGCGGTTTAAGGGTTTAGGGGTTTAAGGGGTTTAAGGGGTTTAGGGGTTTAAGGGGTTTAAGGGGTTTAAGGGGTTTAAGGGGTT